AGGTAATTTCTTAAAGAATTTCTAAGATAATTTATCTATTAGAATCTTACCAAATTTCTAATAATTTAGAATGTCAATGAAAATTACTCTTCTTGTTTCAATAATAATGTTATTAGCCGTATTCGATTAGTATTAGATTTTTCTACTCAATCCTCTATTAAATTTTCTTATTTTTATTATATTTATTTATCATATCAAATATATTACATTTATATAATAGAAAACTAAAAGTGATTTCAAATAGCCCCTTAGCTAATAATATGTTAATCCTATTTACCTTTCCTAAAAATTCCAACTTTAGAATGCCACGACGCCATACTTTAAATTATATTTACAAAAATAATTTTTTTATATGTATTGTCATTTTCCGTTTTAAGTAAACGGCATCACCACTCTTGCAGTAACTCAGACTTGGGAGATTTGTCCTTTCTATGTGAAAAGTTGCACCCAAATTTGCAAAAACTGGAACTATTAAGAGAGGTAACTAATTTAATCATTAAAGTTTTTTATTTTCTGTAAGCTGTTGAATGATTATCAATTTCTGTTCATTTATTTTATTTTTCATGCAGGATAAAATTGGGCACAATCTAAAGCTTTTTCACAGAACAATCACCACTCTGAAGGAATTATCAGTCAGAAATCTAGCCTTGTAAGGGAAGAACTCCATCTTGAGCAATCTGTTGCTGCTTTTCATTTATTTATTTATTTCTTTTTTGAGAACTGTCTAAAAGGCAAATGAAGCAGCACTGCTAGTTTTCTGCCTTGTTAATTTAAATCCCAATGTAAAATAAAATATGTATTAGCTCTAATTGAAATTTTCATAAGGTTCCTTTTTTTCTTACGGAAGGATTGATTGGAAAGAAATGAATTTTGTTAGGGCCTCATGTCAAAATGTATTAGGAGTGTAAAATGTTTATTTAAATTAGTGAGATTAGGATTGCAGACTTGTCCTGTACTTAATGCAGGATCTTGCTATATTTTAAATAATTGTTGTGTGTATCATTTTCATAGTTGTAAGGAGGTTTTGAGCCAGTTTTTGTGCTGTTCTCCCTCTTTGGGGATGATGATTTTATTATTTTTCATTTCTATTAAAATCTCAGTCCGGTAAGGTTTCATTCGGAATGATTTTCTTATAAAAATTAAAAAAAATTAACGAAAAAATTATTTTAAGAAGTATTAAGAAAGCTGTAATAAATAAGATAAATTATTTTGTGCGGAATTCATACAGAGTAATGTATATACTGTGTATAAAAATATAATATATAGTGTATATATTATGTACAGTCATAGTTCAAATATAACTC